CCATTACCTCTCTTCTTACTATTACAAGCAAAAGGAGAGTTCAACAAAACGTGTGCATGGTGAAGCTACATTTACGTCCAGAAGCAAAACAAGGGCCATCTCAGCATTTGCTCAATTCAGGGAAACTGGACAAAAACCTGATTGAGATGGTGGTCAATGACCCGGAAGCTGAAGTACATTATTTGTTACAAACATATTAAATCTATTTTGAAAAACAAATGTAACCAAACGTGAATACAAATGTAAACTAATTAATTATATATCACTGTTTTGTTAAAATAAACAACATTTTTCGTTTTGATAATCAGTATAGTCTCTAATTGTGAAGAAACGGTTATGCAGCAGAACATATTTTACTTTTAACTTAAATTTGTGAACCAACTTCAATTGTTTAATATCATCTAGCAATGCGTTGTAAAGTAACGTACATGTATTGTATGTGGATTTCTGATAGTGAGCTGCTGATACTGACACTTGATGAACGCGATTTTTACGTGTGTTGTAATTATAAATATGTTATGTAATTATGTATTGTAATTAAAATATGTTCCCATCGTTAAGTAAGTTGCTTTTGACAAAGTACAAGTGGTAAGATTCCAAGCTCTATGAAGAGAATTGCAAGGGTAACGCGGAAGGCATTTTTTCATTATTCGAATAATTTTCTTCTGCAGTCTAAAGGTCTGAGTACTACATGATGCGTTTCCCCAGAATTTTATACCATATCTCAGGCAGGAATGTACATTTGCATACACGCAACGAGCTGCATGAAGGCTGACAGAATTTGAAAGAATTCTGAATACGTAACATAATGAACTTAATTTTGTGTTTAATTTTGTTATATGTACATTGCATTTACAGAATAATGTGACGAAGTAGTCATTTTCAAAGTACGTACGTGAAGTGGGTTTTTTTCACAGTCGGTTTTGATTTTTTTGCCGATACCGTACTCGAGGTAAAAGGCACTTGACTAGTCTTTGATATCTCGGGGAATAGCAGAACTTTATACAGTGCTGTGAATGCCGAGCGTTACTAAGGAATAGTCATGGGTCATTCCACGTCAAATCGCACACATTTCAGGTAAATTTGACCTTGATGTCTCAGATTTTAAACTTTTTTCTGAGAAGAGTATAAGCAATAATATGAATATGTTTTGTTTTTTTTTCATTTTTTCCCAAATATTGTTTTTCGAGATTATATTAAACTGCCTCTCTAAAGTTAATCATTTTTAACTCGTGTCGTAATTAAAACATAAATTTAATATTTTGGAACGTTAAAGAATTAAATGACAGAGCATCTTTTATGTATGTATTGAATCCGTTAAATAAATAAAAAAATTCCAATTTCATTTGAATGATTTCTGTATTTTCCCCAAAATTGACAGTTTAAAATAAAACAAAACAAAACATTGTAATCTTCAAAAAGTTCTACGTAAGTGTAGTAAGTTACAAAGTCGGACATAGAAATGAATCTGAGAAATTAAATGCAATAGAAATGTCTACTTCCTGTTTTGCTGCTGCGCATACTAGAGCGTCACCCCTCAACCACGTACCAATCAGTAGTAGACGATTACCATCAATATACTTTCACAAAGCAATAAACAGAAGTATCCCTTCACATCTCACCATGTGCCAGATATATACATATAACCTTCATAACCGCTTACATTAAAATTAAAAAGTGTCAAACATTCAATTTAGTATTAAGAGACAGAATATTTATACGAATAAGGTTACATGATACAATTAATGAAATGTATACTTATTTTTCTTCACTTTACAGAGTATATTGTTAATTGACCTTTTCAGAAAGGAATGAAACTATTTTGTTTGTGCCTTCTAATGTTTTTATTATTGTAATTATTGTATTTTTTATTGTTGCAATAGTCCTGTTTTTAAATATTCAGTGTTGCAGTTATTTTTCGTCTTGTCAAGAATGCTGGTTGAAATAAACTTAAAGTACACATATTACGAAAATACAAATAACAAAAGCATTGATATTATTATAAGAATTGATATATATATATATATATATATATATATATATATATATATATATATTATACATTATACGTCTATCTGTGGTTACTAACTTCACAGAATAACGCACATGTCTCGCGGATTCCTCATTTTACACAACTTACTCAGTATTTTTGAGAAACAATGTTGCTCTGTTTGAGGCAGTCCCTAGCAACGTCAGTTGTTTATAAATAAACGTAATAGTCGAATTTTGTCTAAAGTCTTCCATTTAAGTCCGCGATTCATAGCATTTCTGCGATTCATAGCATGACATAAGTCTCACGGTCTCATTATGTTTGAACGTCACAATGCGTCGCATCATTGAAGTTCCGAGTAGCGAGTGCACCGGCCAGCTGAATGCCTACGTGTACCGGTGAACGAACTATTTTTAAAAGTTTTTTATGTGTGCCCCATTTTGAAATTGAGCAGATATACACAAAATTAGTGTGCATATATATACACATATGAGTTTTTTTTACAATTAATTAAAATGTAGACCTCAAGTAAAAAATTGCATTTTAAAAATTAAAATGTATTTTAAATATTTACCTAATGTTAACAAAAATTATATTTACATTTCATGAATGTATATTTTTAAGTTAGCTTTAAGTGTAATTTTATTGTTCTGAATTAAACGGTATTTGCGCAAACGAATTCTGAACATTAGCGCGCGCATGATTGTTCAGAAAAAGTACATGGTAATATTTCTGAAAGGGGTGGGATTAGAAAAAAATGCGTGTCATCTATTCTCAACCCTAAACTAAAAAAAAAAAAGTTTCAAGATACTCACAAAACATCACTATTTTTTAATATGCGATTTGATGAGGAATGACTCCTATTTACTTCGTTATATTTCCATGCATGAATTACTTTTCTCATGGTAACAAGACATTGTCTTGGCAACCGCCTTTTTTCATGGATATTAAAAAATACCCATTTCACATACGCATAGCATTGGGCAGAATTAGCCTTTTTATACATTTTTTTGCGTGAAATGATTGCTTTTTGCACAATCGACATTTAGTTGTTTTTTTTGCCGATATCAATATTTTGAGGCAGAAAACAATCGAAATCGAGCAAAAGCCAATCATTTCGTACACGGAATGTAAACCTTTTTTTCTACGATCGTATAAAACTGCTAATACTGTTTATAGTTTTTTTGTTTCCATCTCTGGTGGTAATATCGAAGGAAAGACCCATTTTCATTAACGATTTTATAACAGAGACCGTGGTGTCTCTACTTTGTGTATCGAAGCATTGTTTTAATTGGAGTTCCTAATCTGTAACGAGTACGTAGTTATTGTAATAAATAATAAAGTTGTGATATAAAAATTCTAATAATTAACATCTTTCCTGTTTCATCCCACACTTGAGCGAGTCAAAATCTGCAACCTAGTAACTATTTATTACGTTACACCAAGTGTACGCTCTTACAGTAAAAAAAATTATAAATTTTGTGTGAATTCTCGAAGTTGCCCCTGTTCAGGAAACCTAAGTATTATCATATTGATTTGGAAACCAGGCTCTCAATGTTCTTTCTCCTATCATTGGGTTTATATTATCTGCTAATATAAACCCGAAAATAAATTAACAATAACATTAATATGAGCAGCTATTATTTATTGACAAAAACAGATTTCAAAATGCTATACGGCGAATTCTGCATTCCGCAGTATCTACACCAGCTTTATTTAGTACTAAAACGTAACATGACACATAAAATTTACCCTTTAAATGCAACATATCTTGAAGACAAGAAATTCAATAACACTCTGTCATACATATATAAACTGCATTCATTCACTCGAGTGCACTTGTTTTGAAAATAAAAAGAATAATTTCTAATGGCCATTACCAATAATTACTCAGTTGGTTACAGTCTTGGTCTTGTTATAAGATTGTTGCGAAATTGCGTCACCTCCATGGTTGTTGTACCCTGTAAAATGGCGCCATCTATGCTGCTGAGATTATTTAAGCCTTCTCGTCGCGGGTACCATTCTTTTCTTTTCAAACTCCGAATCGAAACACTAGAGGACTATATTCCTTACTATGGAACACCACTCTACGACCTCCTTCCACCTTCCAACCAACTATTACATCAATAACTCCAGATTTCTATTTTGTCACGATGTCAGGACTACCAGATCGCTACCCCGCGTGTCTATATGCATTGTTGTACACTCACCTCACTGCGCAGTTTTTAAACAAGGGACAACTCTTCTCTTCTGTTCAACTCGCTGAAAATTTTTTATTCCAATTTTAGATGTCTTTTGATTTCCACATATTCTTTATTGTAATAGCTAATAATTAAACTTCAAATAATACATTTCATTCCCCTTTTACAAATTCCGAATATTTTATTGTTCAAAAGTATGGGTAATCGCCCATTATTATATCCTTCACGTATCTTTTCCAAACATTAAACATTCACTCGTTAAATAAATTATTTTCATTATTATATTATAAATCAGAGTTCGAGTGACTGTGAATCCTTCCTAAACGGTTCTTTGTTCATGTACTTATTCTTCCGAGGTTTGTTAACAACGTAGTTCCTTGGATTTTTTAGGCATAAACACGTTGTACGTCCAGTCTTGCACCTTCCACTGTTTCCTTTCATTAAAATATGTCGGTTTTTAGTTATCTAGTAAGATATCTTTTTACTAATCATTGTGACGCATCCGAATGGACCTTCTCATTATATTTACTGAATTACAAAATGACTAATAGCAATATTGCCTCTGACACGTCACTGAAACTACGTTTGCTGTGGTATCTAATTTATAATTGAAAAATTAAAATACTTCACGTAACAGCACGTAGAAACCCACAATTTTATACGAACGTAGAATTTTTTAAGATATTGAACATCGATAAGTTATCGAAAACAATAAGTAAAAACATAATGCCCTTATTTTTAAATTTGTAGTAAGTATTTCAAACAGTGAAAGTAATGATAAAAATAAATGTTGATGACTGATTGGTGAATTATCTTGCATGTTCCTCTTTGATCATGTCTGCAGCCTTCTCTCCTATCATGTAAGTTGGTAATTGCAAATGTCCTGAAGTGATTAATGGCATAATGGACGCATCCACAACTCGCAATCTTTCAACACCAACAACTTTCAGCTCCGGTGTTACTACAGCCGTTGGATCTCCAGGAGGTCCCATTTTGCAGGTTCCGCTCGGGTGATAAATGGGATGCGAAAACTGACGAATCGCGCAGCGCCAGTAGTCATCAGAGTCGAATAAAAGTTGTTCGCAGCCTGGGACCGGCGTATCCCACAACCTAGCGCCAACCTTCTGGAAACTGGGTGAGGCCAGAATCTTTTGGTACGTTCTCACTGCGTCCAGCACCACCTGCACGTCCTCAGGGTCCGAAAACGCGTTGAGGTCGATCTGCGGCGGGGTGGAGGTGTTGCGGTCGAGCAGGTAAACACGCCCGCGGCTGCTGGGGCGCAGCCGCATTATGACGGCCATAACAACAGGCTTGTTCTCCAGCTGTCTGAGCAGTCGATCGTACGTGCTCCTCGTTACTCGAAAGAGTCTGGCAGCTTTCGCGGTCGGCGCTGGACTGCCAGAGGCGTACAGAATCTCCACGTCCGGCCAGCCGGGGACGTGGAAATTGGTCCCTTCCATCTCATGGAACGAAACCGCCTCGAACGTCCCTGTCGACGTGAGAGGACCGGTCCTCTTCTTGAAGTAGTCGACGAGGGTTTGGGGATTGAGCATGATCTCAAGCAGGCTGGGAGCCAGGGACTGGTTGAGCGTGGTGAAGGTGGCGGTGAACGGCGTGTGGTCCATGAGGTTGTGCCCGACGGGCAGCGGCTGCACCACCGGTATGCCCAGCTGCTGCAGGTGGTCGGCCGGCCCGATGCCCGAGTGCATGAGGATGGCGGGGGAGTTGACGGCGCCCGCCGACAGGATCACCTCGCGCGTGGCGTAGGCGACGTGCTCGTGGCCGCCTCGCTCGTAGCGCACGCCGCGCGCGCGCACGCCCTCCAGCACGAGGCGCGTGGCGAAGCTGCGCGTGCGCAGAAAGAGGTTGGGGCGGGCGCGCGCCTCGTTCAAGTAGCCTGCGTTGGCGCTCCAGCGAGAGCCTTCGTACGTTGTAGTCTGGATGCGCCCCGTTCCTGTCTGCTTCTCGCCGTTGTAGTCCGTCATGAAGAAGCCCGCTTCCTCTGCAGCGCGCAGGATCAGTCGCCCCACATCTGCGCATGCGCTGGACTTAGTCTCTCCGCGATCCACAACAGTCAGTCACTGTGGTCTGTTAGACTGAAGGACTTGGATCAGAAACAAGATAGCTACTTCTGTCTCAGGAAGACTCTCACTGTTCGATGATCTTTATGCCGCGGTTTTGAACAAAGTGTTGCTTACCTTGATTCCCCCCAAGCCCTTCGTAGAGAATATCTCAGAGTAAATGTTACAAACCTCTCGTCCATGTCGAGGGGTTGAAAATGCCTAAATTTGGGCTACGAACAAATAATGAGAAATTTCATATTTCGATGTTCTATGAATTTATACATTAGGGATTTCCTCCCAATTTTTAGGCAATCCTGTACGTCTAGGTGTTGCATAGGTGATTGAAATCTCGTTGATTGCAACGCAAAGTGGTTGCACAACAATCAGGAAAAACTATCGCATATGTAAGTCTGTTATGTGAAATTTCCCATCTCATGTTCATTAACAAAAAGGCAAAATGTTCCTCCAGGTTGTAATATATATATATATATATATATATATATATATATATATATATATATATATATATATATGCTGGGACTCGTCCATATAGAAGAATTGAAATTGCTCACTTTTGGGCAATGAACTAACAGTGAAAAATTGTATACATCGGAGTAATATGAATTTATACCGGAGGGATTTCCCTCAATTTTAGAGACTCCTGTACGCACAGACAGGTCATTGAAATCTCCTTGTTTCCAATGCAAAGTAGTATTCCGAACATCTCTGCATAAGGAGTTCCTTAAAAATTTGCGGAAAATATCATATATAAATGGCTGCAAATCTGAACGGTATAAGTGACATTTAATAAATTTAGAGAAGTCTGTTTAAGTCCATATTACTGTAAAGTCTTGATGCTTTGTTTCATCGTAAAAATCATGGTAATTCAATTGTTCATGTTAACGAAGAAAATACATTGGCACTGAAATATAACCCTAAATAAACCCGTCTTTCTCAGAATTTCTAAAATGCCACTTATACCGTTCTGGTTTTCAATATTCATGTCATATTCTAGCGATGCTTGCTACAATATATTGACCGTCCATCGTATACAAGCGCCTAAAATCCTTAATTCATAGTAGTGGGTTTAATTTAATTATTATCTGTCGACCCTTTCCAATTTTTGATAAAATATCGGCTTGATGTTTACCCTTTGTCAGTCAAAATTACTCCTATACACTTAAAATATTTTTACATTTTTAATTTACGAACCTTCTAGGATTATATCTTCCCGAACATCCTTCATGGGTATATCACATATGTAACTCCGTTATGCAAAATTCCCCAGTTCTTGCTCATTGGCAAAAAGTCAACATTTCCGTTCCCTATACATGCCCTAAAAGATACTAGTATTTATACTCATACATACTTTATAAATAAACTTTGAATGAAATCATTCATATTTGTAAACATTTAAACAATAAATTAGCAGAAGTGGGAGTCATCCTGTGACTGGTGTGGCTTGTCTTGTTAGTGCTCCAAGTCTTTCAATTGATGAAATTTACTTACTTAAAGACAGTAAATAGTAAGTAAGGAAGATATTGAAACAGGAGAGCTAGTTTTGAGGTTGAAAACAAGTAGTTTCTATGAAGGGAAAGAGAAGATAAGAGGTGTAAGATTTTTGAAAGTGAAAACGGGAAGTAGGGGCATGTGATTGAGAGCTACGCGAGATATCTGATAAGAGATATGGAATGAAAAATATTTAGAGAGATACAGTGATCATGTGATGATCAAATAGGAGAGAGAGAAATGACAAGGATATGATATTGTAAGAATAAAAGACGGTAGGGAGGATAAACAACGTAATCTATAAAGATGAATACATTTAATGGGGAACGGTGGAGAGCAAGCAAATAGAGATAAGAATGGTATATTTCCACATGGATTAGAATAGAGCCCTGGGTGAGAGGGAGAGTCAGCGAGACAGGAGAACGTTCAGGATTGATTGAGTGAATGCTTATTTCGTGTTTCCGGGCACTTCAATTGATAGTCATACGCACCGTAAGTGTAGTGCTTGTTTTTCGTGGGGAATACGCGGTGATCTCCACCGGCGACCTAGATGTCGACGAGCGGGATTTCCCTCAACAAGGTACATCCCACTAGCGGGGCACCGCCCCATGCGGACAAGCCCTATGCTCTCGACTGCTCTCCTGACATGTGTGGCGGTGTAGTACATGTAAGTGTGTGTAAGGGGTGAGGATAGAACAAGGAACGGGAAGGAAGAGTCGTGCTCGGCCCGTGGCCCGTTTGGCTAGAGTACTGCTCAGCATTCGACTGGTTTCGATCGGAGAAAACTAGCTATCAGAGAAGTCGGCCGCTAGAATTTTCCTCCAGACAGCAGCTGAATTCGACCTATCTGTCTATTAATTACTGTCAAAAATCCTGCTACTATCCGGAGTCGAACCCTGGGACCTCTCGATCACAGGCACTCCAGTCACATTAATTGATGCCCTCATCCACCTAAGCCCGTGAGAATGTTCGGAAAAGAGATCGATATGTAAAGAATGGTTGGCTTTAGGTAAAACCAAATTTTGTGGAGGGGAACATGGACATGGAGAGGAAGAAGAGAGGGAGATGTTAGAAATGATAAGTAAATAGATAGAGATAGGAGTTTAGACTGCATATTTTAAATAAGAGCTGGGTATGTAAAACGGGGAGATTTGAAAAGGACAGAGAAAAGTTGAAGAAATAAAGGGAATGTGTGGTATGGTATATATAT